ATATGGAGGGAGAAGAGGGTGGGGTAGGAGATGTCATGTCGCTTATTTCTACCTCTGAAGTAAATTTCCCCTCTCCTCGCCACGAAAATTTCCTGAGAAACATTGGCATTTTATGGTACTTACCACTCGCTTTTATATATACCTTGGTAAAAAATCAAAACTCTCTCCGTATTCGCTCTCTGTGAAAGGCAGAGACACTCGGAAGCACCTCGCATAGTAGCACGTGCTAAAAGCAACTGTCCACCGCTGGCAAGGCTGCCGATGGCTCCAATTTCCGAGAACTGCTTAGAAGCAAGCTGATGATGCGTTTGACTGCTTGACATGCGCCAGTACCAATTTACCGTCGAAACGAATGAACGAATCGCAGAAGAAATTGGTTGTTCCCTCGACTTTCTAGACGAGGATAGAGATGCTTTTACACTATGTCTCCTAACAAAAAAAAATTCGAATTATAGGAACTAAAACAACCGCAAAGTTCGAGTCTCTGTTGGCCTCTATTTTTTCAAAAAAGAGGCCATATAAACAACCTTTCCACGACCATATAAACAGTCAGACTCTCCGTCATATGAGCGACGTGCAGGATATCATTACGACCACGTGAGAGAGTGAAATTCGATCGGACCCCTACTGGCCTCCATTTTTTGCAAAAAAAGGATCTCAAAATTCTCTTTTGTGGGCTGTATAACTGCTCCATTCGATGCGGAATAACCGGGCAAAACTCTACAATGCTCGACTTTGAAGGCAGTGATTTGCAAATAGGAAACTTCGTAACAGAAGCAGAAATTCGGGCTTCTTCAGTAGCACTATGTTGAAAGCAGAGACGCAAAGATGCGACACTGACGAAAGTTGAAGAGAAAGCGCTGGCTATTTTTCTAAAAGAGCGATGGAGCGAAAGATGCTTGGTGTATCTCTCCACAACCACATAAACAATCAGACTGTCCGTCTGTTGAGCGACGTGCAGGATATCATTACGACCATGTGAGCGAGTAAAATCCGATGAGCAAAGCACGTGTTGTTCGCCTTACCGACAAGCAGTGGACGTCGTGTATTAGTGAATGGTACGTGCAAAAAGGCAAACTACCTTTGGCGGGCTGCCGAAGAAGTCGTATATGTGTATATTTCGAAACAGGCGATTGGTACTAGTCTGTGATTCATGATCAAAGGCCTGGCTTGGTTGGGCTTGAACCTACAATACAGGCCTTTATTGCTAGGATCAGTGGAACCAAGATGTTACGTAAATGTACGGAGAAGCCGAATGCTAGACTTCCATTTGAATTTACTTGATCCTTGATACGGCGTTTCCGTCACTGACGCGCTGTTGATCTTCTCCAGTGGCACCGACCGACAAATACATCACCGAGTTCTATCCTAAGTTCGCCTTATCCACAATACTCCATATAATCGAGTTAGCGAATCGGATCAGCGCATCGGTGATCTTCCTTCTACTGGCCTTTTTTTATGTCCATTTAAACTGTGCGGGCTAAAATTCATACCTTTCTTGGCGCACTGTTTTGCTTTCGCATGTCATCCTCGTCAGTCATCGTAGACTGTCTGAATGGTTGTCGTTTTCTTTGGCAGTTTAATCAAAGCTCTTTGCAGGTCAGAATGTACGGTGTGGTTGTGCCGTTGGCATCGTACGGCATGGAGACGGTGTACATCATT